GTTTCGTAGGTAGTTTCAACTTTTCCAGCTTCTTTAAACTTTCCCAGGTCCTTTAAAAGTTCACCCTCACACTTAATTCCTCACATTCACTCATCCCTTACTCACACTCACTCTTACTCATTCCTCACACTAGTTCGTACTCAATTATCCTTCACAGTTACTCATCCCTCTTATTCACTCATCCTACACACGACTTCATCCTCACACTCACTTATCCCTCACACTCACTCATCTCTCACACTCATTCATCATACACATTTACTTTCACTCACGCAAGTGTAGGGGGCCTGTACTCGTGTTCATCATCCCTCACGTTCACTCATCACTTACACTCATTCATCCTTGAGTTACTCATCCCTCACGTATTCAGCCTCATACACACACACTCATCCCTCCTACAGTCCTCATTTGCTCCATCGCCTTTAAATTCCAGTGAGCAGTACCTCGGGACACATTCTCTTGAACAGTGTGTGTGTGTGTGTGTGTGTGTGTGTGTGTGTGTGTGTGTGTGTGTGTGTGTGTGTGTGTGTGTGTGTGTGTGTGTGTGTGTGTGTGTGTGTGTGTGTGTGTGTGTGTTTGTGTGTGTATTTACCTAGTTGTGCTTGCTTGAGGCTTCCTGAGCCTTAAGCTGTCCTCCTCTGTCTTAATCCTTCTCATAATTTTGGCATTATCACCTAACATTGAGACGAATGAGTCTATACCCTTTGGGAGATCATTTATATATATCAGAAACAGGATAGGTTCAAATACAGAGCCCTGTGGGACTCCACTGGTGACTTCACGGCAATTTGAGGTCTCACCACTCACTGTAACTCTCCGCTTCCTATTGCTTAGGTACTCCCTTATCAACCGGACCACCCTACCAGTTACTCTTGCCTGTTTCTCCAACTAATGCACAAGCCTCTTTTGGGGTACTGTTTCAAAGGCTTTCCGACAGTCCAAGAAAATGCAGTCCGCCCAGCCTTCTCTTTCTTGCTTCATCTTTGTCACCTGGTCGTAGAATTCTATTAAGCCAGTAAGGCAAGATTTACCCTCCCTGAACCCATGTTGGTGGACTGTCACGAAGTCTCTTCTCTCCAGATGTTCTACGAGCTTTTTCCTCACGATCTTCTCCATCACCTTGCATGGTATACAAGTTAGGGAAACTGGTCTGTAGTTCAGTGCCTCTTGCTTGTTACCTCTTTTATATATTTGGACTACATTAGCTGTGTTCCAGTTTTCCGGTAGGTCTCCCGTTTCCAGTGACCTGTTACACACCAGAGTGGCACACTTAGTGCTTCTGCACCTTCTTTTAATTTCCATGGTGAGATTCTGTCAGACCCAACAGCTTGTGTCACATTCAGCTCCAACAGATTGCTTTTCACCTCATCACTGGTGAGGTCAAATTCCTCCAAGGTTGTTAGGTTTGCCTCCTCCTATCTCAGTATAGGGGCTTCTCCTTGCTCTATTGTGAAGACCTCCTACACTCTCTTGTTGAGTTCTTCACACACATTGTCATTCTCTGTGTATCTGTTCCCCTTTTCTCAGTTTCCTCACTTGTTCCTTCACTGTTGTGTGTGTGTGTGTGTGTGTGTGTGTGTGTGTGTGTGTGTGTGTGTGTGTGTGTGTGTGTGTGTGTGTGTGTGTGTGTGTGTGTGTGTGTGTGTACTCACCTAGTTGTGTTTGCGGGGGTTGAGCTCTGGCTCTTTGGTCCCGCCTCTCAACCGTCAATCAACAGGTGTACAGATTCATGAGCCTATCGGGCTCTGTCATATCTACACTTGAAACTGTGTATGGAGTCAGCCTCCACCACATCACTTCCTAATGCATTCCATTTGTCAACCACTCTGACACTAAAAAAGTTCTTTCTAATATCTCTGTGGCTCATTTGGGCACTCAGTTTCCACCTGTGTCCCCTTGTGCGTGTTCCCCTTGTGTTAAATAGACTGTCTTTATCTACCCTATCAATCCCCTTCAGAATCTTGAATGTGGTGATCATGTCCCCCCTAACTCTTCTGTCTTCCAGCGAAGTGAGGTTTAATTCCCGTAGTCTCTCCTCGTAGCTCATACCTCTCAGCTCGGGTACTAGTCTGGTGGCAAACCTTTGAACCTTTTCCAGTTTAGTCTTATCCTTGACTAGATATGGACTCCATGCTGGGGCTGCATACTCCAGGATTGGCCTGACATATGTGGTATACAAAGTTCTGAATGATTCTTTACACAAGTTTCTGAATGCCGTTCGTATGTTGGCCAGCCTGGCATATGCCGCTGATGTTATCCGCTTGATATGTGCTGCAGGAGACAGGTCTGGCGTGATATCAACCCCCAAGTCTTTTTCCTTCTCTGACTCCTGAAGAATTTCCTCTCCCAGATGATACCTTGTATCTGGCCTCCTGCTCCCTACACCTATCTTCATTACATTACATTTGGTTGGGTTAAACTCTAACAACAATTTGTTCGACCATTCCTTCAGCTTGTCTAGGTCTTCTTGAAGCCTCAAACAGTCCTCTTCTGTTTTAATCCTTCTCATAATTTTAGCATCGTCCGCAAACATTGAGAGAAATGAATCGATACCCTCCGGGAGATCATTTACATATATCAGAAACAAGATAGGACCGAGTACAGAGCCCTGTGGGACTCCACTAGTGACTTCACGCCAATCGGAGGTCTCACCCCTCACCGTAACTCTCTGCTTCCTATTGCTTAGATACTCCCTTATCCACTGGAGCACCTTACCAGCTACACCTGCCTGTCTCTCCAGCTTATGTACCAGCCTCTTATGCGGTACTGTGTCAAAGGCTTTCCGACAATCCAAGAAAATGCAGTGTGTATGTGTGTGTGTGTGCGTGTGTGTGTGTGTGTGTGTTTAAAGATTGTGTGTAATATTGGTGTGTGTGCGTGTGTGTGTGTATGTGTGTATGTGTGTGTGAGTGTGTGAGTGTACTCACCTAGTTGTGTCTGCAGGATCGAGCATTGACTCTTGGATCCCGCCTTTCGAGCATCGGTTGTTTACAGCAATGACTCCTGTCCCATTTCCCTATCATACCTGGTTTTAAAATTATGAATAGTATTTGCTTCCACAACCTGTTCCTGAAGTGCATTCCATTTCCCCACTACTCTCACGCTAAAAGAAAACTTCCTAACATCTCTGTGACTCATCTGAGTTTCAAGCTTCCATCCATGTCCTCTCGTTCTGTTACTATTCCGTGTGAACATTTCGTCTATGTCCACTCTGTCAATCCCTCTGAGTATCTTATACGTTCCTATCATGTCCCCCCTCTCCCTTCTTCTTTCTAGTGTCGTAAGGCACAGTTCCCTCAGTTCCCACAGTGTGTGTGTGTGTGTGTGTGTGTGTGTGTGTGTGTGTGTGTGTGTGTGTGTGTGTGTGTGTGTGTACTCACCTAGTTGTGTCTGCAGGATCGAGCATTGACTGTTGGATCCCGAGCACTGTGTTTACTAGTTGTGTTTACTAGTTGTGTTTTTACGGGGGTTGAGCTTTGCTCTTTCGGCCCGCCTCTCAACTGTCAATCAACTGTTTACTAACTACTTTTTTTTTTTTTGTTTTTTTTCACACCACCCACACACACACACACCCTAGGAAGCAGCCCGTGACAGCTGACTAACTCCCAGGTACCTATTTACTGCTAGGTAACAGGGGCATTCAGGGTGAAAGAAACTTTGCCCATTTGTTTCTGCCTCGTGCGGGAATCGAACCCGCGCCACAGAATTACGAATCCTGCGCGCTATCCACCAGGCTACGAGGCCCCCGTGTGTGTGTGTGTGTGTGTGTGTGTGTGTGTGTGTGTGTGTGTGTGTGTGTGTGTGTGTGTGTGTGTGTGTGTGTGTGTGTGTGTGTGTGTGTGTGTGTGTGTGTGTGTGTGTGTGTGTTCGTATACATGCGTGTTTGTAAAAATATTAAAGAGTTTAAAACACGAAGGTAGGAAAGCGGTACCCGAGGGCTATGTAGGTGAGGGGTGGGGGTGGGGGGGGGAGTGAGCAGCAGTGTGTGGTGGTGCTGGGGTCAGCACGCCGTCGACCAAGTTGCTGGCAGCACACACACTCCTCTCTCATGGTACTCTGTCCTGCCTCGATTTCTACAGTTGACAGAAAGTTTTATTCAAACTCAGCTGGAGCCTATTTGTTGCACCCTAACCCGACCTGTTGTTCTTCTTCACGTTCTCTGTTCTCAGACCTGGTGTGCTGACCTGGTTTTGAGGGGTTCCAGGTCCTGGGCCCCGCCTCTCTATTGCCAGGAATCCGATGCAACTGCTCTATCAAACCTTAACTTTGGACTTTGTGAGATCTTTTGGAACTGTCTATTGGATTGCCCACTACCACTGCTGCCTCCTGGTCTTTGGCTTCTTCCATTTTCCACATCCAGAAATTATATTGAATGGTTTCATTTGAAACGAATTATCCATTGTATGTCCCACAATATCCTTTACGTTGTGACCATGGCTCATCTGTTTCTTTTCTTCAGTAAAGTTAGGGTTAACTACTTTAGCTTAGCTTTATGACTTGGGTCCCTTATGTCTGGTACCAGTCGTGTGGTAAGTCATTTTATTGTATACATTTGTTATAGTTTACGAGGTGTGGACTGAACACTGGCGAAGCATCACTTAAGTTGTGCAACTTGTTCTCAGAAATAACGTGTCAATTCCTAAAGAATGTTCATGTACTTGCTGTCATTGGCTGTGCTGCTGCCCAACCACTTTGGCTGAATGGTATAACGATGGTCTTGCTTCATGCAGGTCGGCGTTCAATCCCCGACCGTCCAAGTGATTGGGCCCCATTCCTTTCCCCCGTCCCATCCCACATCCTTATCCTGATTCCTTCCAAGTGCTATATTGTCGTAACGACGTGGCGCTTTCTCCTGATAGTTTCCTTGCCTTGCTGGTGGTGCTGGTATTATCTTGCGTATATCCGCCGTAGCCTAGTCTTTACATCACCGTGCAGCTACTGTGGCACACCACCCACCACTACTGGATTTCTCCTAACTTCATGAGGTACATGTGTCGCCCATGCCAGGTGTGGCGCCCATGCCAGGTGTGGCGCCCATGCCATGTGTGGCGCCCATGCCAGGTGTGGCGCCCATGCCAGGTGTGGCGCCCATGCCAGGTGTGGCGCCCATGCCATGTGTGGCGCCCATGCCATGTGTGTCGCCCATGCCATGTGTGTCGCCCATGCCAGGTGTGGCGCCCATGCCATGTGTGTCGCCTATGCCATGTGTGTCGCCCATGCCAGGTGTGGCGCCCATGCCATGTGTGTCGCCTATGCCATGTGTGTCGCCCATGCCATGTGTGTCGCCTATGCCAGGTGTGGCGCCCATGCCATGTGTGGCGCCCATGCCAGGTGTGGCGCCCATGCCAGGTGTGTCGCCCATGCCAGGTGTGGCACCCATGCCAGGTGTGGCGCCCATGCCAGGGGTGTCTCCCATGCCATGTGTGTCGCCCATGCCAGGTGTGGCGCCCATGCCAGGTGTGGCGCCCATGCCAGGTGTGGCACCCATGCCAGGTGTGGCACCCATGCCAGGTGTGGCGCCCATGCCAGGGGTGTCTCCCATGCCATGTGTGTCGCCCATGCCAGGTGTGGCGCCCATGCCAGGTGTGGCGCCCATGCCAGGTGTGGCGCCCATGCCAGGTGTGGCGCCCATGCCAGGTGTGGCGCCCATGCCAGGTGTGGCGCCCATGCCAGGTGTGGCGCCCATGTCAGGTGTGGCGTGCATCCTGTTACACACATGGCCTCAGAGTACGGTGTCATTACTCACACTCTCCTTCATTGTTACATCCCTACTACTTTGACAGTCGTTGTTGTTGTTGTTGTTGTAGATTCAGCTACCCGGAATTAAAGAGTTCCAAGCAGCACGGGTTATGGAGTAGCTAACTTTGACAGTCACTTATGGGTCCCCAAGGCTCCCACTACAGGTCGAAATTCGTGGATTATGAGGGGGGGGGGCGCTTTCCCCCCTGAGACCCGCGGGGCTCGTCCTGCAACCTGTCCTCTTAATAATAACGTCGCTTTTGGCCGTTTACCCGTATGGCCGAATATGGACGTAATTTGAAAATGAAAAAAAAAATGAAAATAAATTTGGGATTTTTTTTTCAACAACAGTAAGTTAAGGGTCCTCTGGTAGGTTAGGTGGGCAGGAAATTCTCATAAAGTTTCAAAACGTTATGAAAAACGTTAATGGAAAGTTTACTTTTCTTAGCTTGCCGAGTAAGCCGGACGACTCAAACAGAAAACGGAACAGTACGTCACTTTTGTGAGTCGATTTCATTTCAAATTACGTCCAAATTTGGCCATAGCGGCGCATACGAGCCAAAAGTTACGTTATTTTTAAGAGGACGGGTTGAGTCCTGACAATGTGGTGGTCGTGTCAAGAAACACTCTCACGGAGGCTGTCAACACAGTTATCATTAGGAACAAAATACATCAATAAGACCACCACCGTCAGACACAGGGGGCGGGAGCTGGACCCTCTTGCCGTCTATGACCTTCTTGGGGCCAAATAGCGAAGAGATGTATTTTTATTTATTTTACGGAACATGTTCAGAGAATTTTAAGATTTGTGACTTGTACCGTAGGAAGTGAGAGAGGCTTCCTGCAAGCGACGAACCTCCACAAACTCCATATTTTCTCCAATATAAGTCAATATTAATGTAAATTAGTTTTGTTTAAATTAATTTTGCCTAAGATATGTTAAGTTAGGTATGCTGATCCTGTTGTCAGTTACTTGTATTTCATCCTGTCGTGAGGCTTCGCTCGTCCAAGCTGCAGCCGACCTACAGAGACGCAGTCATCGTCAGTTTAACGCACTCTGTGTTTAATATCGGTAATTTCTGAAATATATATTAATATATTAATAATTATTAGAATTTGGTATATAGTTACACCTAGGTTTGGTCAGGTGTTTAGGTTCTGTTGGCGATTATTTGTATTTGTAGTACGTGGGTGAAGCATTTACAGCGTTGTGGTTCGAACAAAATTCGTCAGTGAAACACTTGTTCCGGATATGTTCGAACTTCAGCAGTTGTGAGTCGTGTGTAAATCGCTTTTCATTCATAAACAGGGGGTTTGGTGGGTGCATGGAATCACTTTTGGATCTTTGTTTGGAGGACGGGCTGCAGTTGTGAGTGCCAGCCCGTCCTCCAAACAAAGACCCAAAAGTGATTCCATCCACCCGCCAAACCCCCTGTTTATGAATGAAAAACGGTTTACACACGACTCACAACTGCTGACGTTCCAACACTTCCGGAACAAGTGCTTCACTGACGACTTTTGTTCGAACCACAACGCTATAAATGCTTCACCCACGTACTACAAATACAAATAATCGCCAACAGAACCTAAACACCTGACCTAACCTATGCCTATATATGTACAATATGCTAATATATTATAATATTTATTTATATTTGAGAAAATTCCCGTTTTAAATGAACAGCATGTTAAAATTTATGAATGCGTCTGTGGGGTCGACCGCTGGATGTAATGGACTTGAGTCGAGGACGGGTTGCGTGTAAACCGTGTTTTATTTATAAACAGAGGGGCTTGGCGGCTGCATGGAATCACTTTGCCCTTTGTTTATGAGGAGGGACTGTTTACAGCGTTGCAATTCGAACAGATGGTGTCACCCAAGTCTTGTACTATAATTGTTCGAAAGTCATCGGTTGTGAACTTGTGAGTGGTGTGTGTAGAGGAACTCGTTCTTATCAACAAAGGAACCCGTTCTTATCAACAAAGGAACCCGTTCTTATCAACAAAGGAACCCGTTCTTATCAACAAAGGCCAAATGTTCATTCCATACAGCTGCTAAACTTTCTGTTTATGAATGAAAAACGATTAACACAACTGCTGACGTCCGAACACTTCCGGAACAAGTGCTTCGCTGACGACCTCTGTTCGAACCACAACGCTGTGAGTGCTTCACCCACGTACTTCAAAAACCAATAATCGCTAACAGAACCTAAACACCTAACCTACGCCTAACTATAAATGGAACTTTAATATATAATAATATTAATATATAAATTAGAACAAACCTATTTTAATACACAGTATGTTAAAATTTATGAGTGCCTCTGGGGGGAGGGGTGGGGGGGGGGGGTAGGCCGTAGCTTGAACGAGCCTGGCCTGAGTACGGGTTAACCCCATCTTGAGGTTATCTTGAGATGATTTCGGGGCTTTTTAGTGTCCCCGCGGCCCGGTCCTCGACCAGGCCTCCACCCCCAGGAAGCAGCCCGTGACAGCTGACTAACTCCCAGGTACCTATTTACTGCTAGGTAACAGGGGCATTCAGGGTGAAAGAAACTTTGCCCATTTGTTTCTGCCTCGTGCGGGAATCGAACCCGCACCACAGAATTACGAGTCCTGCGCGCTATCCACCAGGCTACGAGGCCCCTTACTAAACTTACCCATGTACTAAAATTAGAAATAATTGCCAACAGAGCCTAAACACCTAACCTAACAACCTATGCGTAACTATACATCAAATTTTATTACAAAATAATATAATATATTTGATAAAAATCGAGTTTAAATACAATGTTAATATTGATATATGTGTCTTTGTGGAGGGCGAGGAGGTGGACGAGCCCAGCCTGAGGACAGGTTGTGTATACAGTGTTTATCACTCCTAAACACTGAGTTTGGTGATTGGACTAATTGATTGGACTGCGTGCCGACCTACATTTTATGTTTACCCATAAACATGGATATCGGATTCCCCAAGGAATCTCCCTTGGTGAATCCGATACCTTTGATATCGCTCTCTTTATGCTCTTTTGTTCTCGTATTGGCATCCTTTGGGATAATTCGCGCCTTTTGAATCTCCTGCAACATTAATGGAGCTACATGGTCTCCCCGGCTTGGCGCCTTCTTTGGAGAATTATTGACTTGTTAAGGATTATCAGATTAATCCTGGTTCATTCAACTTGCCAAGTCTCGCCAAACTTGTTACTGAGGGTTACATCACTGCCTAGTGCACTCATTTGTTAACTATCCTGTCACTGAAAATAGTATTTTTTAATGTATTTCCCTACTTGTATTCACCTAGTCGTGCTTGCGGGGGTTGAGTTCTGCTCTTTCTGCCCACCTCTCAACCGTCAATTAATTAACTATTAATATATATATATATATATATATATATATATATATATATATATATATATATATATATATATATATATATATATATATATATATATATATATATATATATATATATATATATATATATATATATATATATATATGTCGTACCTAGTAGCCAGAACGCACTTTTCTGCCTACTATGCAAGGCCCGATTTGCCTAATAAGCCAAGTTTTACTGAATTAATATATTTTCTTTAATTTTTTTCTTATGAAATGATAAAGCTACCCATTTCATTACGCATGAGGTCAATTTTTTTTTATTGAAGTTAAAATTAACGTAGATATATGACCGAACCTAACCAACCCTACCTAACCTAACCTAACCTATCTTTAAACGTTAGGTTAGGTTAGGTAGCCGAAAAAGTTAGGTTAGGTTAGGTTAGGTAGGTTAGGTTGTCGAAAAACAATTAATTCATGAAAACTTGGCTTATTAGGCAAATTTGGCCTTGCATAGTAGGCTGAGAAGTGCGTTCTGGCTACTAGGTACGACATATATATATATATATATATATATATATATATATATATATATATATATATATATATATATATATATATATATATATATATATTTTGGTAGCAGTCTTTCCTGTAGACATATATTATTAAATATGACCGAAAAAGTAAGATTAATAATTCTAACACGAATTTTCTCAATGTTTCTTATATTCTTTTTCACTGTTGATGGTAACTGAAAAATCAATTCTCCAAAATTCTTTTTTATTTCTAGTCTGACACGACACTTGAACGCGTTTTGTAAAACTTATTTCATTTTCAAAGACTTTAGTTGACACACACACAACTATAACTGAACAGAATTTAAAACAGCTTCGATTTTATACCTGCATTTGGGTGAGGTGATATGTTACAACAGTTTTGGATGAGGTGAAAACAAACTTTTCAACACAAGACAGAACACGAAACAATGGGTTTAATATTTTGTAAGTTAAAGGGAAGATTGGAAGTAACTGCAAAGGGCCTATTGACCCATATTTCTTGATGCTTCTATATTGGTTCGGAGTCTTGAAGTGGGTAGAATATAGTTGTGCATTAATTGGCTGTTGATTGCTGGTGTTGACTATTTGACGTGTAGTGTCTCGCAGATGTCAAGCCACCTGCTATCGATGTATTTATCGATGATTTCTGTGTTGTTTGTTAAGATTTCTCTGGTGATGGTTTGGTTGTGAGAAAAGATTATATGTTCCTTAATGGAGCTCTGTTGCTTATGCATTGTTAATCGCCTGGAAAGAGACGTTGTTGTCTTGCCTATATACTGAGTTCTTTGGGGCTTACAGTCCCCAAGTGGGCATTTGAAGGCATAGACGACGTTGGTCTCTTTTAAAGCGTTCTACTTTGTGTCTAGAGAGTTTCTCGTGAGTAGGTTGGCCGTTTTTTTGGTTTTATAATAAATTGTCAATTGTATTTTCTGATTTTTGTCTGTAGGGATAACGTTTCTATCAACAATATCTTTCAGGACCCTTTCCTCTGTTTTATGAGCCGTTGAAAAGAAGTTCCTGTAAAATAGTCTAATAAGGGGTACAAGTGTTGTGTTGGTTGACTCTTCAGAGGTTGCATGGCTTGTCACCTTTCTTTTTATGATGTCTTCAACGAAACTGTTAGAGAAGCCGTTGTTGACTAGGACCTGCCT